TTTTCTGCCAATCTGTGTTTTTCCCTTTTTGGCCAAATATATTTTTTACTACAACTGTCTTGTTGACGGCATCTTTTATTCGTTCCACTGGGGTTTATCAGATGTGTTTATAAAGAGACGAAAATTGTTTGGGGACTATCCCCCACCTTCTAGTTGAGATGGTATAACCTAAGAGGCAAAATGACGCTTGCTACTGTTGTTGCGAGTTGCCATTCGTCCGACTAAACCATATAGTTAAACGCCATCATGTCTTCTGTCGTTATTACACAAACAAAAATCTCTTTACTGTTACTAGTGTTAGTGCCTCAATATGGCTACGCTCGTGAAAGCAATACAACGAACTCAAACGCGTCTTCGTTCAATGTTGTCAACTAATGTCCGGATTAATTTTATGCAAATTTTCCTCAATTCTCCGGGGAAATTTTCATAAAAATTTGAAAAACCCGGAAATCTGGGAAAATCCGGAGGACTTTAATCTCTGAGCTCGGCATCGGGACAATTGTCGGAAAAATAAGGTCAGTCGGCGTGGTGGAGTAACCGTTGCGTAGTCGGTTCTCTCCACTGAGTGACGGAATTAGATGAGTTAAGCCGAAAACGAGTAGGCTAGCTCGAGTACCGTTTCGTGGTTAGCGGTACGGGGGAAGTTTGATTCCCACAGGACACAGAGCCCAAGCGCATCTGTGAGAGCATCGGCTCAGTTAGATACCGTTTCTTGCAAAGCATTAACGGTAAGGAAGCGCTGCCTTGCTGCAGAGGTTGACCACCTAGGCAAATGTTTGTGTCTAACGTTGTATGCGTATGTTGTGCATATCGTTTTTGTGTTAGTGCGTAAGTGTGATCGGTGATCACGCTATTGTGGTAACGTATCCCATATAAACTTCGGTGCGGGTACGTATCAGTTCAGTCCGAAGTAAAAGTTATTGTTTACTCCGGTGCGGGCACGTACCGTTTCCTTTCGGGTAACGACCCAGATCTCGATCGTGATTTTTTTTCTTTTTGGAAAATACCTGTAAAAGCTTCCAGCTGTTGCTATGCAAACATGGCGACACGGAAGTCCTCGAGCTGCTGGCGATTGGGCAGAATGCAACAGACGACAGCACGTCACGATGTAGAAGCGTTAGTCGAAAACACACGATTGGCTCTTTAAACGCTTGTAATATATGTATGTATTAATAACATGTTCGTTTTGTTTTCTGTTTACTGAAAATTGTATTCTGACTTGTTCAATAAAGATTAAAAAAAAACAAAAAAAAAACACTATTGGCTCAGGAGCCAAGATGGCGACGTGAGCGGTTGTGCTTTTGGGAGCTGCTTACCTGACTCAATATAAGGTTAGTGGAACACAGATAACTCTTCTTTTTTTTTTCCATGTCGTAACTCTTCTATTTTTTCATGTCAGAAAATGTATATATATTTTTTTCCCTCTTGACTTTGCTGCACTCACGGTAACCTGTCCTTAGCGCAGTCCTAGTTCTCTTTCTTAAACGTTGCCTTGACTCGTGCTAAGCTAGCAGCATTGACAAAATGGAGCTGAAGTCCGCACCTGAGAATGTGCTCGTGGATGGCGTGCACGCCTACTGCCTGCAAAACCAACCTGTCCTCTGTTGTGGAAACTGACTTTCCCGCATTGCCCGTCTCGCCGTCCAAAGCCACCAGCGTCGAAGAAAAGTAAGCAATCTCGCACGACCGAAGGAGAGAGCGCGACCATGTTGCAACAAATATCAACGCTGTTTAACACCAGATTTGATAAGATGGAGACAAATATCAGTAAAATGATGAAGGACATGACAATGAAAATAGAAAACCTCACGAAAACATTGAATATTGCCTGCGCCGAATTAAGAGATGTAAAAGCAAATCTAAAACAAGTCGACGACCGCGTTGGACTTATGGAAAAGAAAGTGACCATGATGGAGGGGCGTCTCACTGAAATTGAAAACTACTCACGACACTGGAATCTACGACTCTATGGTGTAGCTGAAAAGAAAAACCAAAATGTCAGTGAGGAGGTAATCTCGATCTGCCAAGCGGTCCTGCCCGGAGAGAGAAAAGACAAATTTCTTCACGCCATTGACACTGTACATCGACTGGGACAGCTGAAAAATGATGCATCCAAGCCTCGAGGGATCATTCTCCAATTCACATCGCGAATCTTCCGAGACGCTGTCTGGAAGGCTGCAAAAAAATCCAGTTTTCTTCAAAGCAACAACATGCGCTTCGCTGAGGATTTGTCACCATCTACAAGGGAGAGAAGAAAGCTACTCTGGCCGCTGGTGGTGAAGGCGCGCGAGGAAGGAAAAACGGCGTACTACATCGGGGATCGAGCCTTTGCCAACGGGACCGAACTGCTTCCTATGGCTTAATACCTCCTTCTCCAACCTCGGCTGATGGGCAACTGACGTTGGTAATTCATACATCCTAATATTTAAGGAAACTGAATCCTTCTCCAGGTTCACCTGAGGACCTCTTATGTACTCCACTGAGGAATTGAGCTAAATATTACTTTAATTAGTTAAAAAA